TCTGCAATAGTGATGCTTGACAAGATCACCCTGAAGAGTGTCCATAACTACTTATGCTGCACCATTCTGAACAAATAATCAACAACTAGATTCTAAGTCCCTGGCTATATTAGAAGCTAAAAAAAAACCTGCATAGAACATATTGGTTAGGGTTATTGTGGTGAAACAATAGATCAGGGGTATCAAACTCGCCGCCCGTGTGCCAGATGCGTCACACATTGGCCACGCCCACTCCTATTTTAGTGAAAGGGGGGAAAGTCGTGATGCGTCACATGGCAACAACGTGAATTGGACACCCCTGCAATAGATGGAAAAAGTAGCAGTAGTAGTAGAAAAGTAGATCTCCTGTCATTTGGATTCAGAATCATAGGCCTTTCCTCTGTTGAATGAATTTCAGGTGTTAAGCATGAAAAAAAATCAACTTTCCTGTATTAGGATTGATGTAAAAGAATGACTTTCTTTGGCGGGATTTAAAGTTTTACTCCACTTTAAGCTGCAGTTGATCCATTGAGAATAAAAAAAAAACCTCTAAAGTTGCATCCATCTGAAGAATTTGAATCTAGTTTTCAGAAATCATTGCAAGTCACTTGTTAAAGTCTGTAAAATATTGATTGGTTTCTAGAAATAGCATTGAAACATTCCCAAATATCTGAGAAATCATATTGTTGTCCAGTATCATCCATTCAGATACAGTGTGTTCAGAAACGACACTTCGCTTTTGCCAATTTTGTTACGCTGCAGCCTAATTCTACAGGTACTGAAATTCATTTTTTTNGTAACTGTTCTTTACGCCTATTAGCCCTCTGTTACCAGGCATCCATGACCAACTCCCGTGTCTCCTCCCCACTGCTCCAATGCATGATGTCAGGATCACACTCCCTTGTCTCCTCTTCACTGCTCCAAGGCTTGACTTTGGGAGCACGCTTCCTTTGGCTCTCACTGCTGCTCCAGGCCTCAGGTGCCTTGTGGTGGCCAACCAGCCTTTCTGCGCCCTGCTCGGAGTTGGAACCCTGTCCAGGGTCCTCCAGATCTTCCAGAGCCAATCATAGGGCCCCTTGCTGTTGGAGTCTGGTGGCAGCTCCAACGGCTCCTGCTGGGCCACAACAGGTGAATCTGACTTCCCCATTGACTTTGCTTGTCAGAAAGTCGCAAAAGGGGATCAAATGATTCTGGGACACTGCAACAGTCATAAATATGAACTAGATGCCAAGCATCTGATTTTTGAGCTCTGAACATTTTAAAACCTCCAGGTTGGAAACAGGATCTTGTCAATGAATGCAGAGATTGGGGGGGAAAGGAGTTCATGTGAAATTTCTCCACTTGTTTGGTATGCATACCAGTCATTTTAAAAAAATATTTTACAGAATTCAGGACTTGCTTTTATTTGGGAGGAGGTTAAGAAATAAATGATGTGTATCAGAGGTGGTATTCAGCAGGTTCTAACCAGTTGTGGAAAATTGGTAGTGGAAACTTTGAGTAGTTCAGAGAACCGCTAAATACCACCTCTGACTGGCTCCGCCCCCATCTATTCTCTACCTCCCAAGTCCCAGCTGACCGGGAGGAAATGGGGATTTTGCAGTATCCTTCCCCTGCCATACCCACCAAGCCATGCCATGTCCACCAAGCCACGCCCACAGAACCGGTCGTAAAAACAATTGAATCCCACCACTGATGTGTATTAGTGCCTCAATGATAGATTGATACTGTATGTAAACATTATGGAATCCACAATCTAACCTTATTTGCCTGTACCACTAACAAGGTAGGGAACTTAAAAAAAACGAACTGTTACTTCAATAAATCCATCAATAAATTTCCCAAAGATTGGAATTTCCTTCTTACAAACTAGTAAGAGCCTTGACCGAGTTTCGAGTTGCCACATCCGCTAATCCTGGCAGTACTTTCTGTGACTTTTGATAATATAATATGATAAAATTATTTTCTTGGAGCAGTTAACAACATGAGTGTTTAATGCATTCAGCCCCCTTCCCTTACTACAAGTGTGAATTTCTGTGGTGTGAACAAAATCCAGTGTTTCAGACAGTCAGACAGATTGGACATACAGTATATTCATCCAATTTTTCAGTAATTATATTAACATTCACTGGTGCCCCCCCCCCCCCTCTCTCTCTCTCTCTCTCTCTCTCTCTC